ACATCTCACTGACTCACATCTCACTGACTCACATCTCACTGACTCACATCTCACTGACTCGCATCTTACTAACTCGCATCTCACTGACTCACATCTCACTGACTCACATCTCACTGACTCGCATCTTACTAACTCGCATCTCACTGGCCGAAAACGTGTAAAATATAAGTCGGAATATTAGGTTATTGTCAATATGGATTATGGTCATAATTTCATTTGTGGATTTGGAGTTTCGCTCTCTGCGCCATTATTTTTTTTGAACTGTGGGTAAAAACATAACGCCGAGGGCAAAAAATAACATTGGGTCAAAAGATAATCTCTTTTGAAGATCAAATATTGCAAAATATTACCACAGTTGAAGCAATAGGAAACTAGTTACTCATATGATCATTGTTATGTAAATTTTTTTTTTGCAGACATTGTTATGGAGTCTTTCCAAGTATATGAACCTTCAAATATCCTGTATGATATTGGGGCATCTATCACTATTACCATGGAAACCACTTTCACCAACTTAGGTAGTGAATCCATCCCAGAATCCTCAACAGACAGCAACTACCAATTTGAGTTGGTTATAATTGATCATATTTCCGATATCAATTTAAGTTCAGATTCTGTACTGTTTTTCCTTGACACATCCACGGCCACAAACCTAGGAGCTGAGTTGATCTACGGACTTCCTGGTGTTACTGTTACACCGCTAGTTGCAACGATAACACTCCCTAAACTAACCAGTCGTTGCCGTGCTTTTCAAAGTATGTGCCTAAAAGTGTTGCCACAGTTACCATATATTGATGTTGATCTTAGTAACAACTATCACTGTCTCACTTTTGATAACTCAAACGCCGGTGAGAAGACATGTCCGGAGTTGGATGTAGGTGAGGAAGTCTATTTTCCTTTAAATCTTGTATTTGTCAAATTAAGTTCATCATAATATGCACTACAAATAAGAATATATATTGAACATGGTGGACAAAACATTCAGTGAGTCAGTCACAAGTTGTATTCAATGCATTTGCATACTGTCTTTATGGGTGTATTGCAGTATGTCCATCATAAGCTAATTATCAT